GCGTTTCTCCCCCGTCGCTGCGCAATCTCGACCTCCCTCCCGCTGCATCCCCCCCCCTCCACCATGCAGCGCCCAACTGATATCACCCCCAACTATTATTCTTATCGTCACTAATTAGTACTATTACCCTTATAGTACTACTGGTAGCTCATATAGCTAGGATCCCTTCTTCCTCAATTTATTTTTTTTCCGAATATCATTTTTTAAATTCCCCAAATAAAAATTCGCATCTCAGTTTCTTGAAAATTCACTCGGAATTACTTTAAATAATTTACGAACTTTTTGATAACCTCAAACTTTTCAATCTCCTTACTTTCAAATTACAAATAAATATTAATTCTGCAATTAATCAAATTTCTTGAATTTTCAATCTTTTTGTTAAACTTCCCCCCTTTAGAATTCATCAATTATTCATTCGAAATCGACTCGGAATTACTCCCGAATTAACTTGGAATTTCAACCTTTTCCTTTGTTTTTTATGTTTTTCTTGCAAAATACATATATATTTTTTTCCTTTTCTACCATGAGCGAGAGCGATAGAGAAAAACTCAAGTTGCAAAATCAGACAGATGTCCAGATAGTCATGTACCCAGCAGAGAGCTTAAATGCACCAAGATTCCATCCAAATAAGAGCAAAGCAGTGAACTCGTGTGCCAATGTTATCGCCCTCAGGCCCCACCAACACAGTATCCAATGCCACTCATCTTTGTCTGGCGCCCAGCCTACTCTACTGAGCCTATCTAGCCTATCTACATTCTTGCAACAGGACGACTCCGATGTTGAAGACCAATGTACATCATGTCAACACCAGTGCCGACCTCCCACATACACCAGTTACGTTCTCTCTGCTCCCCTCATCAGACCTTGACCACCCACTCATGCGCCTCCTACGCGAAGACCACCTTCGCCCCTCATCACCTGCCCGTCCGCACGTGTAGTTCATGGCCGACATCTTCCGAAGGCTGCCGCTGCTTGTCCTGGTCATCATTTTGCTTCTCCTTGTCGTCGTCTTCCACGTGTGCATCCTGGGTCGGGTGCCTAGTCGCACACGCAAGTGACGATCGACGAAGAAGCACATCAGCATGGACGGACGGCAGGCGCACCACAGAACATCGTTGGAACAACACGCTAACCACCGCCCCAACCACGACAGTACTCGCGGTACAAGGCCGCATGACCCGTCAGCCTAAGCGCACCTCCCACCGCACGTACAACCTCTACCTGACTTGTCAGATGGGGAGGCGGACGAAGGTGGGTCACGTACAGTCCCGCTGGGTAGCGGGTCCACCGAGGAGTGGGCAGGCAGCCAGTCGTACGGTCGGCGTGCTAGCACGTACAGGCCGCAGTCGTACATCGAACTCCTGGAGGAAGGCCTCCGCGGAGACGACGTTGATGGCACCGTGAATTTGTCATTCGGGCTAGGTAGTGGGAGCTCTACGGCCGCCACACGGACAGTCCTCGTCAACCATCACACTGACGACAACGCAGGGCAGGTGACATTGGTCAGCCGATCTGCGAAGGGTGCGTCAGTGGGATGGGAGGGATCAGATAACAGGAGGGGGCGGCCGAGATTGCAATCGTCGACGGCATCAGTGGCACCGCTGGCGTCGGCCGTCCGCAGTGGATGCGGTCCCCGTCTCCATTGTCGGGAGGTCGCGCCGGGGGGCGACGTGCGTCTGAGTGCGGGCCAACGGACGAAGACTTCGCATGCGAGGGTGCCGAAGCAGATGGGAGGCGCGTGTGGAACGAACAAAAGCAGGAGATGTGTTGACGGCAAGAGGAGTCTATAATTGAGGGGGTGCAGCGATTGCGTGTGGGGGAGCGGGACGTGGAGGCAGACGGGGCAGTCGGGGGAGGCGACGACTACAACGACGACGACGAAGGCGAGTGCGAAGCACAGGACAACGAGTCGGGGGACGTGTTTCCGTTGTGGAAGGCGAGCATGGACAGTCGGACCAGTAAGAGCAGGGCTTCCGCGTCGACAACCAGGTGTGGAAAGAAGGCGGTGGGTGGTGGTGGCGAAGCCGAAGGCGACGGGGAGGGGGAGGGGCCGAAACTTCTGGTCGGTGGAGCACATGGTCGCCCTCATCAGGGCGATACGGAACCAGGATGCGCAACTGCAGATGGCGGGCCACGCGTTCGCTCGGATGAAGCAGAGGGAATGAAAGTGGGCGAACGTTCGTGAGAGGTTGTTGAAGGTCGGTGTGGACAGGCCGACAGACAAATGCGAGAAGAAGTGGGATAATTTGATGCAGGAGTTCAAGAAGGTGCATTGCTTCCAGGGCGAGTTTGGGAAGGAGGACTCTTCCAGCTGTCCGCGAAGGAGAGGCTGGCGAGGGGGTTCAATTTCAACATGGATCGGGCCGCCTACGAAGAGATCAAGGTATCGACCGCAAGGAGTCATACAATACACCCGCAGAATGTCACAGACACCGACCGAGCAGGAGGTGTGCAACTTCCATCCGGATCTTTTGGCGGTCCTGAATCTGTCCACGATGGGGATGCGGGTGGCGATGGCAACGATGAAGTCAACAACTCGACGAGGGGTTGTTCTCAGACTATGGGCAGCCCTGGCGGTGTCCGAAAAAGGAAGAACATGAGGCAGCAGACTTTCGAAGCCCTCACCGAGTGTATGGAGAAGCACGGGACGCTGATGGCGTCGACCATGGAGAGCGCTAGCAAGAGGCAGTGCTCCATCCAAATTCGGCAGTGCGAAGCTATGGAAGCGGAGTTGGAGGTGAAGAAGAAACACTATGCGGCATCGGATGAAGTGAGCAAGATGATGTGCCACGTGATGATGGAAATAGCGAAGGCCATACGAGATCGGTAGATGTCGTGGTCATGAAGAGACCAGGTGAAGGCGTCGACGTTTGTCCCGTTGTCCGGGCGGCATGCCAGGAATGATGAGTGCCCCCTCCGTAGTTCGTCGTCTATGCTAGCTTTGTGCCCAGTTGCGGGTCGAAAACGACCGACATTCACCCTGTGCCACGCGTCTGTATAGCTGGGTGGGCGTTTTGGATGGGTTGTGTGTTCCTTTCGTTCAGAGCATCGCCGAAGGCAAATGATGGCCTTGTTTGTTTTAGGAACAATTTTTTTTTGGTAAATTTCTCGGCTTTCATGTTGTTCCGTCGTCATGCGATGATGGTGAGACGATCTCACGTCCTATATCAGCAGACTTCACAGTTCATGGCTGACCGTTGTTTTTTCCGATCGCTTAACATTCAGTTTACGATTTTAATGACGTCTTATGACTTGTTCTTGCTTCTCTCTCTCTCTCTCTCTCTCTCTCTCTCTCTCTCTCTCTCTCTCTCTCTCTCTCTCTCTCTCTCTCTCTCTCTAATGCTTGGTTTCCAATATTTGTTTGTCGCTGTCCATGCCATTGGCTGCGTTAAATCCTGTCACCGTCCAATGACATTTTTGGGGAGCGTGTCGGTGACGAAGCAATGTAAGGCTGGGCTAGCGTGCATTCCGTGGAAGGTACATTTTGGGGTTGCTTATAGTTGTCAACTTGTCATCATAAACATATGCATGCAGGAAGTTGTCGTCTGAAATGCTCTCCTTTTGTGTTGAATTTATGTCCTCATACTCACGAAACGACTGGAAATGGAAGCGGTCGCCAACTGTGATGACAAAAGCATCCCAAACATGGAAATTGGTTTACAATTCACAGACATGACGGGATGAGGTTGCTCCAATGCTTGCCCACAACCACACCAAAGCATTTCTTGCTGGCGATACACACACACACACACACACACACACACACACACACACACACACCTGCTTTCGGACGATGGGGTTGGGATGAGTTGCTTTGTGGGGGGGGCGGGGTGGTCAGGACTGTGAGGGGCCGCATGAATGTGAGTTCACTTTTCCGTCTGTGTTGGGTTTTTTTTTTTTTTTTCCGCATTTTTCTTAGTGTTTGTTGATGTCGGTTGAGGATGCTTTCGTCGAATGAGATGGATTTGGGTGGGTGACACTCACGCCTGCGAGCTTCCACGGCTGTCTCCGTCGGACATTGACAAACGCTGCGTACAGGGACGACAGCGAAAGGTGAGGCGAGAAGGGTGAACTTGGGTGAACAAGCGGAGGCGAAAACGAATGGGTATGGTCGCTTGAGCAGGAGGTGTGCTTGTTGTTTTCCCTATAAGTTCCCGCGCACGAGGTCGGCAGACAGTGCAGCACGTCAGTGTCTTCTCTCCGGGTCACTCACTGATTCTTGTGCGTCTTCGGCGTCCAATCGTTCTACCCCCACGCCGCGCTTCTCTGTCAACCGCAAGTGGACATCGGACCTCTTCCGTCGCGAGACAGACCTGCCAACACTGTGGTGGTCGCACAGATCTCTAGAGGCAGCCATCGCCTTTCTTCGGCCACTTGCGCACAGGGACCATCGTGCGCACGTCGCCTGGTCATCCTTTCCGCAGCACTTCATGCGGCTGGATCGCCGTTTTTGCCACCATCTCACAATCGTCCGCGACAATTACCTCATTGTCGCCTTCGACTTCCGCTACGATTTCTCGCCTCCTTGCCTTCATCCTCCGCGCTTGTCGTCGTCAACGATGACAAACTCTCGCAGCGCCGGCCAAGGGAAAAGGGGGAGGGACGCTCTTGAAAAGGATGTGCCTGTCGTGGAGAAGAAGGGAAGGCATCAAGCGAAGAAGCGTAAGGCTGTTGCTGCTGGGCCGTCCAATGTCGGGAACAGTGTGAGGGACGAGTGGGTGAGCGACAGCGAGAGCACAGAAGAAGATGACGCCATCGAATCGGGAGAAGAGGAGGCCGCCGCGCGGAAAGGGTCGTTGCGCACCCGGAGTGCTTTGAAGATCAATGACGCGGGTGCTGCGCAGGCTGCACATCATCCCCGAGGTGGGGAGGCGCGCGCGCAGGAGGATGTCGTCATCGACGTCGACGCCGATGTTGCGCCGAGGGAGGTGCGCGGCATGGCAAGCAACGCAGAGGTGCGCACGGCGGGGGCATTGTCAAGGACACTTGCGACGGCGCCACCGGAAGGCGATCGGTCTGTTCGGGCCCCTTCATCACCAGTGTCGCCACGTCAACCCGTAAAGGACGGCGGGGGGGGTTAAACGTGGCTGTACAAGGGTGCGGGCAGGCAGCACCACGCACCACCGCGATGGAGGTGCAAGGTGGCAGGGCAGGGGTGGGGTCTTCCAGGGCAGCTAGAGGCGCTGGGGCTGGCGAAGGCCGTGGGGATGGCGACGATGACGATCCTTTGGTGAACAGGCAGCGGCGAGGGTATGTGAAAGAGGGCATCGAGGCGGCGACGAGGCTGTGGGTGGATGACCTCAGATTCTGGAACGAGATGGAGGGACACGGGCTTTATAAGTTGATCCAGGAGGCGCGGTTGTACCTTCTCGCCATCGCCAGGGGGGTACAACCGCCAGTCATACGACGGAGCATTGCCCTCCCGCACATCACCATCCCCCAGCATAAAGTGGAAGACGAATCCGAGCTCAAGGCGACGAAAGAGAGGGCGACGAGAGTGCAGAGCATCACCTTGTGCATTATCCATGGGTGGATCTTCAAGTCCGCCAGCCGGTCGCTTGGCTACCACGCGGCATACGGCTACATGTTGAACCACGTCACCGCGGACATCGCCCACGCCATGTGGTGTGGAGAGGATTGGCGGACATGCATAAGTCCTGCTGTCATCCACAACACCCTGGAGCTGGGCATGAAACTACATGTGTGGTTCGTGGGCGCCAACATAGAGGACAGACACGAGGACGACGAGCTGGCGTTTTATCAGGAGGCGAGCGTGCAGCGAGTGGTCGGAGCTTTGAAGCTTTCACGAGCGCGGTCAGCCTGGCCGAGTTTGTGGACGGAGGGCGAATCTCGTATGAGAGGCTGAAGAACATCGCTGATTGCATGAGGCTTTTGCTCGCAGCTGCGATGTGGCTTATGCGAATGGCTGGGGATGATCTTCGTGCCCACGTCGACGCGTCCCTGTTCGTCCAGCTCATAGCGAAGCCCACACTTGTTGCGTCAATGCATCGGTTGTTCGACGCGCGCCGTCACATCATTCAAGCAGCCACCGTCGTCACTGAGCGGATGGGAAAGCCCGCCATGATGTTGGTGGACCCTCCCCGGTACATCCCCGACTGGGCATCATGCCAAACGCCTGGACTGGTTGGGGATTGGACCCCCGGAAGACGAACAAGATGACATGGTGAAGACGGCTGAACGTGCGGACGGCGACTGATTCGCGTGCATGGCACGTGGAAAGACGACGGCGACGGTAAGGACGTGGCGAGACGAAGAAGATGACGCGGCGACAGAAGGACGGTGGGAAGACGAAGATGAAGATGTCGAAGACCAAGCACAAGACGCGGCGACGGCGGCTGAAGACGTGGCGAGACGAAGGCGACGGAAGGACGGCGGGAAATGATGGCGGTGGGTGGCCTGTGGATCGTCGTCTCGCCAATGGGTTGTGGATCGTCTTCTCGCTGGCCAGGAGGTTTGCTTGATTGTGTGGTGTGTGGCACGTGGCGACTGAATGGCAACATGGGCGTGAGTGCGAGCGAAGATTGGTTCGCGTTGCATGTGGCGAGTTGACAGCAACGGAAGGATGGCGGTAAATGATGGTGGCGGGTTGGCTGTGTATTTTCGTGTCCTGGATATGATGTGGATCGTCGTGTTGGTGGGCGGGGGTAGGTTGCTTGTGTGTTGTGCGCGACAGGAAGGCTGTGGATCATCGTCTAAGTGGCGATGGTTGTGCGTTAGTGTCTTCGTCTTGTAGTGCGTCGTCGTTCATCGCCTTGTGAGGCGATGCTTGTGTGTGTTCGCAGGGCAGCGGAGCATCATACGGTGCATTGCAACAAACATCAATACCAAATG